ATGTTCACGAAGTATTCTTTCGATTTTCTGCTATGAAGCCCGAGTTCACGCAGATATGCGTCTAGTTATAGATTTGCCTAGTCTTCCATAGCATGAGAAAGAATGCGTAAATTTTGATTTTGGATGTCTTAGAAACAGTTTATAAGATATACAAAACGTAGTAGAATCTAGGGCCTTCAGCGTAAGATTTGTCATTTCTTTGTCAACCTTTGCTGTATTTCCCACCGTTTTCCAACCTCTTATCATTTTTTTGTTCTTCTTCTTTCTTTTCTTTTACTTTTTTTCGTTTTCTGTTGCCATGAATACCCAGCTTTCCCTCCTAGGCCAGTTCTATTTTCTTTTGTGTGGCCTATAGGAAGGCTTTCTTCGCAGGGAACACCTGGCTAGACAGGCATGACAATTTCGTATTTATTCATCCTGTGCATTTGTCAATACCATGTACACTGCTATTAGTATAATCAACTAACACCAGTCGAGAAAAAGATTACATACAGCACCAATTTAAACTCATGAATATTTATTTTGAATTAAGATATTTTCTAAAGTTTGTTTTCAAGATTTCTCGTACATTGTCATGGCAAAACTTCAGTAAATAATTATTCTAAACATCTGGCAGAAAACTTGTCGAAGGTTTTGATTCAGTCCAAATTCTGTAGATCATCGGGCCGAGTTTATACAGTGATATTCAAAACTATATCTTTCATTAGTAATCAGTGCCCGCGCCCCGAACAAAGACTAATTTATTACGAATACATTACAAAGATAAGTCTTAGAACAAACGTCTACCAAAGTGTCTTCATGTGTCGGCATGGTATTATCCATCAGTTCAATATAATAGGAAAGTGTCTGTTTGCTTGGGAAAGGCGGTTTTGCTGGTGTTGACTAGTGAAAGCCAAGAACGGATCGTGGAAATACGTGGAGGTTTCTACTGTATATTCTAAAGTGAGTTTTCCCTCAATTAACTTTGTTTTACACTTATGTTATGTTTAAAATTCTCGATGTCTTAAGAAAAGGATGTAAAAAGAAATTGTTTCTTGAAAGAGGAAATACCTCAACTCCTCCAATGGCCTAATGTATTTTTTGTCTTACAGCAGAATTATGAGTTTTTGTTCTGAAATATAAATTGTTTTAGAGTATTCTGCCATGAGGCTTGTTATATGCATTCTTGTAAAAGTATAGCGCCTAGAAGACTGAATTCTTTTGAATATTTTTGTAAGAAGAATGGACTACCTTACGAGATTAAAGGAACCCTTTCGCCCAGGAAAAGTTTTCTAGTGGTGAACTTACTAAACTCAGTAAATGTTGGTAAAAGAAATCGAGATTTTCCAGTAAATGCCTTATTTATTCCTTGTCTAATGAACAATAAACTGATTTCTGATCATGAGCGGAATTTAAAAAGAAACTAGAACTATGTATTAGTCGACTGAGCCTTTTCTATTAAAGATAACGGTAATTTTTGATTACTTGCCTTTTTCATTCCTGGACGTGAAAACATCGATATTTCTTGTTCTGTGAAAATCATTCTTTAACGAGAAATCATGAAGAATTTATCAGATGATTTTACTTCCTGTCTTTGTCCAGGTCTTTTCCAGCTGTTCCATTTTTAAATAACACGCAATCAAGTTCCGTCATACTATGCACTGACTACCTGCGTCTTTCTCATTCATTTGAACCAATTATGTTTTACTATCTGTTTTAATTTTTATAGGACAAAAACATGTAGTGTAGTTTATATATACTCTTAAAAAATCTGATGTTGTAACAACTTTTAATATTCGAACCTTTCAAAATCATATAGTAAAAATGATATTACTGTGTTAGTTTTTAGGGTAAAAAACTAATGGAATTATATGGTATTGTTAAATAAATAGTAGTGAGATTGTGGACTTGCACGAGGCTGTGACTAATCTAGAGTTTAGAAACGTTGATTTTTCTAAGGAAAAATATTGTCATAAAGGGATGGTTCACCGCGGTGGCATTAGCATAATTAGGATCTTCCTTTATTTCTTTCCAAGTCAGACAGATGTCTTCAGGTATCTTTTGATATCTTTTTACATAGTCTTCACCGGCGGCGCCATAATTAAATGTTGTGGTATACTGAAGATAATTGCGCATGTTAACTGATACAGAAAACCGTAATCATGACTCATTGTAACAGTTTACAGTAGTACTAAGGATGATAAAAATAATATACTATTCAATTCTTTAATTTTACATTGCTTCCCAATCACGCGCGCGCGCAAAATTGTACAACTTCGCGCTTGTAATTTGGAATTTCCATAGGCACGTTTTCGACAATAACATGGAAAAACTTCGATCGACATCCAACAAAACCCAATTTTTCCACGATGAGGAATACACATTTTTACCGAATTCATGAACCCCATACTTCTTTACTGGAATTCATAAGGGCAATTGACAAAGACTGTTTAAATTATTTCCTTGTTTCCCAATGAAATTCATTCTAATCACGACTAAAATTCTTCACCAACAGGACAGAGAAACCCCACTGCACATTGCCATTAGAACAAAGAACCTTGAGATGACTAACCTACTCCTGGACCACGGCGCTTCTCCTGACTCCGTTGACAAGGTAACTACTCCGATGTAATGATCAAGTTCAAGTTATTATCCATGCGGACTGTTTGACACATTCGTTGTTAGCAAATTAGTCCTCTAGTTCTCAAATCAATTGTTTCTTGGCGGAGGGCCCAGAGAAAACAAATACATCACCATCACTTCTAACATGTCTGTTTATTGTTATCCCTTCCTGTCCCATGGCATAAGATCGTTAAGGGGTGTCGCTAGTGTTTTCCATATTAAGATATCATCCCTTCCTCTCTTCCCAAAACAAATTACGGTTGTTCCAGTGGTGGTAAAGGGGGTGGGTATCCCCCCGGCCCTTTTTGCTCAAATTTCTCAGTATTATCATTTTCCTCGCATTCCTGGTAAAACCTTTGTAATAGTTACCCCCTTTTAAAAATTCCAGAATACGCCCCCGTAATTATCAGTACTACCGTGATAAGTGTCTCACTTTGTCTTTGCTTTAGAACAAGTGCACTCCACTCCACATTGCTGCTCGTGAAGGAGATGAGGAGCTTGTCAGAACATTATTAGAACATAAAGCAAACGTTAACATTTTGTCTAAGGTATGACTGCACTTGAAACTTTGCACCCTGTTTTTACCCTACTTTCCGCTAACCTAATCCTCTACATCACAAGGGGTCTTTGCACTGAGGTCAAACATCTCATATTCACTCCATTTTGGGCACGGTGTGCTATAGGCCTTTTCTGAGCTCGATAAACAGGAAGCCTCATATAAACAGCACCATATAAAGAATATCGAGGAAATGTTTGTACCGAATCTAGAACTACAATGCATCGTATTCGCTATATCAGAAAACGTCTTTGCTTTGTGAAAAAAAGGCTTTGCACCATCACGTGATGGTAGCCATGACAGGAGGCACAACAATAGTCTTTTTCCCCTGGAAAACTGATAAGACCAGATTTAATTGTTTCTGCCTTTTGTCATGGCAAGCCTCTATAGACACCCAGAGTGGTCAAAAGGAAATATGGAGTCCTTTATTTATTTCTTGTCATTTTCCCTGGTAGTTATCAGACATAGAGAATTAACTTTCCGATTGGTGACATTCTTTTACAGAAAGGATTTACTCCACTTCACGAGGCTGCCAGACATGGTCATGTGAACATCGTTAAACTGCTCCTAAAATACTATGAGACTCCTGATCCAGAGGGCAAAGTAAGTCTAGACACTGTACACATCTACGTGTGCGTCGTGTGTTTAGGGAGGAGGGGAGTTCTCCCATTTATTCTATTACCCTTCCTGCAGATTTTCCTGAAAGATGACTTAAATTGTCGTGTTAATTTTCCGAATTCTTTCGTTTCTTGACGCATAAAATTCCACTGACTGATAAAGCGTCCCTTAAATCATCTACAGCTTGTGCTTTTTGTCTTTTTCTCGAGTTCTCCTAACATCCCTCGTGTTTATAAATTAAAATATAAACATGGAAAGTGATTCTTAATGCTTGAATATTGTTGTGTTATAATGTTTTAAAACCTTTTATTACTTAACAGCACGGACTGACGCCATTGCACGTAGCTGTACACTATGGTCACGAGGATGTTGCCATGGAGCTGATGGACAGCAATGCATCGCCCTATGCAAAAGCAAAGGTAACTGCTGTTTGAAAATTCAGTTTACGCGTTAACTTAGAGGGCACACCTTCATTTTCTTTGCTTCAAAATGCTGTATGGCAATTTGATTACTTGTCCATGCTATTGCTTTCCAGAATGGCTTTACACCTTTGCATATCGCATCTAAGAAAGACCAGAAAGACATCGCCAAATCTCTCTTGGATCGTGGAGTTGAACCAGATACTGTTACCCAGGTAAAATCAATTTTTACCATAACTTGGAAATGTCTCGCGCGCTGATTGGCTCGCTGCGCTCGTGGTTCTACTTGAGTTTGGATCATTTTTGACGTCATTTCATGTTCGATTAAAGTACAGACCCATAGAAAACTGACTTCGATTTGTTAAATAACTCTTGCTTCCATTTTTGATGAAGGCCAGATTTGTTACCCAGAAAATTCCCCCACCTGTACAATGATCTAAGGGACTACTTTGACGATTCGGCGGCTATCTTGCCAAGGGGCAAAACAAGACAAAGATGACGGAAAATATATAGATATTCGTGTGTTTGTCTTTCTTTTATGGGTAAATGTGTTTGATGTGCCTTCTTAATTCATCTTTTGTTGTATTCTCTTGTGGGGAACTGTTAATATCTATCGACGTTATTACTGTAATGAAGCTTTATTTGCCCCATGGACGCCCCATAATGCCTTGCGATCCAAGATGGCTGCCGTATCCTCGAAGTAGTACATTCAAAATTAGTAAAATTAGAGTGATTTTTCGTAAATTATAATGTAAAACTTTTCTTTCTTTTTTTGTTCATTTTAGAGTCTAATACTTTTATTCGTATTACAGACTGGTATTAGCCCACTTCATTTGGCTGCAAAGGAAGGCAACGTAGAAATGTGTCAGCTCCTCATGGAAAATGGTGCCTTACCTGGCATCGAGACAAATGTAAGCACAAAGCATATTTCAGTGCACGTCAAGCGTTTTTCTTTTTCCTTATAGTCCTCTTCTATGTTTATAAGCAAGATGAATTGTGGTGTAGTTGGGGTATTGCAAAGTCACCAAATAAAGCGTGTTGAACAGAAGATGTTTTTACCCAAGCTAGTGTCCACAATGCATCATGCATCTCAGAAAGTTTTTTTGTTAAATCAACTTTATCTTTAGAATGATTGTAAACCCATTTTATTGTATTCTTTGGGTGCAACCACATGACTCAAAATCCCTTGAGATATAAAAAACAATGAAACAACCGCCATGTTGATTGATCTAACAAGAGAAGCTAATGAGAAATGCTTTGTTATCGTCAACCAAGATGGTGATTATGACCTAAATGCACCCCAAGAATATACGTTCAATGAATTATCATTATTATGCTCTTGGCCTGTTTGCCAAGATTTTTGTTGGTATTGGTAAACGTTATCTGTGCTCTTCTTGGTCGTAGAATGGTTTGACTCCTCTACACCTGACTGCTCGTGAAAATAGAGTCGAGGTGGCCAAGCTCCTTCTGAAGTTTAATGCACCAATTAACGCCCAGACTGTGGTATGTAGCCTTAGATTTTATTTTTATCCAAGAACTCACCTTTTTCACTATGACGAAGGATTTTTTCTTCGCTCTAACGTATGATACTTATTTCTTCTTAAATTTACAATCAAAAAATGCTCTATGCTTATAGCATGTATATTTTTATTGGCCCATACTTTATCATGTCGTGTGTATATGGTATTTAAAGCATGTTGGCTGTATCGGATCTTTTTAGAGTGGTTTCACACCTCTGCACATCGCCTGTGTCTATGGTCATTGGGATATTGTAGAACTTCTATTGGATAGCGGTGCAGATATCAACGCTGCAACCAAGAATGGTTACCAGCCACTCCATCTTGCCGCTCAGTATGGACACAAGATAATCATCGAGATTCTGCTGCAACGTAACGCATCCCCAGATGCTCTGACTAATGTAAGTATTCCATAACACACAGGGCCGTAGCCACCGGTACGGTACCAACTTTCGGGGAAAAAATATAAGAAAAATAATAAGAAAATATAAGAAAAATTGAAAACCCTCGAAAACCGGGCCAATCAGAAATTTGTGGCTACGGCCCTGGCACAGAAGTTTACGAGAGAAAGGAAAAAGAGAGGAGAAAAAAAAATGGAATGAGTTTTGAAAAGGGAGGGTATGGGAGAGAAGAGAAAAGAAGAATAATTGGAGATGAAATGAACAAATATAAAAAGAGATGACATAATATGAAAATAGATAAGATGTAATAAGACGAGGCTAGACGAGTTTAGACTAGACTAAGCTAGATGAGATAAAAGAGAATGCAGAGGAGAGAATACGTAGCTGAGGAGAAAAATCTTTGAACACACAGAAAAATACAAAATATTATAACTTGAGACAGAGTAAATTCAACGTCGAGGAACTAACTTAGAAGAGCGAATTATCATATATGAAATATTCAAGCTCACAATGTTTGTTGTATTTGTTGCCTTTACAGGAGGGATACTCTGCTCTTTACATTGCCCAAACCGTCCATAACAACACAACCATAGTAGATATTCTGTCAAAAGTGACTCAGATCACGCAAACCATAAGAATAAAGCGGAGGCCCGGTGAAGAGGGTGATGATGAGGAGCCTGAGATTATTTTCAGTGCAAAACCAGAGGAACTTGAATTGGAGGAAGTATTGGAAGACATGGAGAAACATGAGGCTGAAGAAGGTATGAATATGTTACAATGTCTTGTGTATGCACGCATTAAGACACGTTGACACCATTGCATGCAGCAATAGCAACAGCAGCAATAGCAACAGCAGCAGCAGCATTGCTTTGTGAAACATTGCTGGACTTGGAAGGGCACATATTTTTTTTTACTCCCGGACGCAAAACCATAAGCCATTCTTACTCAGCAGCCATACAGCCTGGTATCCTTTTTAAGTTGAGTCTGAGTTTACGATGAGTTTGCTTGACTAAAGATAGCTTCGCATAGCTTCCCCGTACACTTCGGTCCTTGGATGAATGCCGAACTGCCTCGTGACATCGCTTGCTATATCGCTTCCGGCTTGCTTAATTTAAGCACTTTATTTATATAGTTTTTATAAAGCACTTTTCACAGCACGGGTATTCAAATTTTAGAAAGCTTTATTAGTAGAAAAAAAATTGCCAATCAATATTTTTCATGTCGCAGGATTTTTGGAGCGCTTTCAGTTTCTAGGCCGTTTAATTTGGTCAGCGGTGTTGGTGGTGGCTCAGCGTTCGCTGGGATTTGACGACACGTTTGCTTCCCCTGGATCACAACATGAACTGCCATCTGACTCACAATCCACACGACACGTTAAACAACGAACTAAACAGAACTATCAATATCGTTTACACTACAATGCACGTGGTATATCTTATCAGCTTTCACCAATGACACTCAATAGGGCATGTGAACACTACTCCACGCAGGATAGGCAATCCTGGACTAGCATTCTYCCTRGCGTTCTTTCYTTATTGCTTATGCGCTCTGCTCTCTAAAAATGCCAGGCTTGTTATTCTTTCYATCATCATAAGTCATTTTTGGTTTTCTTGTAAGGCATAAATGACAGCAATGACGATTGACGATGTAACACGTATTACCACTGCGCTACTTTTTTTTTTTTTTTTTTGATTTATTGTGGAATTTGTAACTGAAAAACACACTTTGAGACAAACAAAATTCATTTTTAACAATTAAAAAGGTTGGTTTTCTCTTTTCATTATCTAACTTAGGCTCAGGTCAAACGTCGAACTTCACATGAGCCAAACCTAATGAAATCGGAGAAGACCGCCTTGTTATCCAATGTTTCAATTAAGTTCGGCTCATGTGAAGTTCAACTCATGTGAAGTTCAACGTCTGACCTGAGCCTTAGCATCGCTTTAAGAACAAATTTCGTTGTTGGAGAAAACGTGATCCAAGCAATAATGATAATAAATAAGCAATATAATGAGAACAAGAAAGTCGTTCTTCTAAATACGGTGCCAATGAAGAAATCTGYTATGCTTTTTTTCCTTTTTAACAATGTCACCCCTTATGAAGTACACCTCTTTTCGCATGCGCAGCCAACCTGGGTGGTGGGAACATAAGAGACTAAGGACGCAATGAACCTTTTTACTGGTACGGCGGTCATATTGAATTATGGGATACCAAGGGGTCAAACACGTAGAACATTTATAAAGCATAGAGTAGCAGGGGGTTTTTTTTCCAAATAATTTGAAGCCTTGGTGTTTCGCATATTGTTCCAACTACCAGCAAATTCAAATGCTTTTTAGATGTGCTTGTCATTGAAAAGCGTAAAATCATATAAAAAGACATCCTGACAGCCGTGCAGTCTATACATTTTCCAATAGTCCCCCTCAGCATCCGTAATTTAAGATTACCGCCATATCGATAAAAAGGTCCATTTGTCGAAGTTGTTATGCCCTGGTCTATAAATCCTGCCAAGAGTGGCAATACGAGTCTTGCTTTTGGAAAGCAAATTCAGTTACATTTTGGGTGAGAGTAACATTGGATACTGGATTTTTTTTACAGAAGCCCCTAAGGAAGAGGCTTATGATCACTTCATGACGATGGAGGAGATGGTGGAAATCACTGACGATTCTGAGCTTAAGATCCAACCTGGTACTGGCAAGAAGACTGATTCTGGTATATTCTCAACACGCTATTCTGGATGCTTCCAAGAAGGCACTCCCCTGACAGGCTCGCATGCCTCTGATCTTGATCACTCTAGATATTCTGACCTCAATTTGTCAAGTGGCATGCAGGTAAGGATAAGAAAGAATGTTCTATTTCTGGATATTTCTAACACAATACAAGGCAACATAACAGAACTCAACTCAGCAAGACACAACACAGCCCTACACGACACGCAGCGCAGCGCAACGCAACACAACCATAACAAACAACAGTATAACCACGACAGAACAGAACACGCAACAAAACACAGCACAGCACAACACAACACATCAACCACAGTACAACCATAACACAACACGCAACAAAACTCAACAAAACACAATACGCAACACAGCAAGGCACAACACAACACCCAAAACACAATCATAACACAACACACTACAGATCCGTAACACAACACAATATACCTCTACAGAACCGTAACACAGCACAACACACCACTACAGAACCGTAACACAGCACAACACACCACTACAGAACCGTAACACAACACAAAACACCACTAAAGAACCGTAACACAACACAACACACCACTACAGAACCGTAACACAACACAACACAACGCTGAAATGTCCCATTCCAAGGACACCATTACTTGTCTATTTAATACAGTCAATACATGGATTTATATTGTTGGTATTTGTAACAGCAAAATTGGACAATATTCTTTCCCTCCTTGATATTGTCAAAGAGGGGTAAGGCGGAAGTCAGGTGACCTACTATGCAAAATAGCAGTCGCCAGCTTTCAAATTGTACGGGAAAGGGTCTTCTCTGATAACTTTATTTTATGAAAGTCGTGATTAAGTACATAGTTCCAATGGTTTGCACTAAGATCGATCATTAACACTTTCTAGCAACCTTCAATTGCCTTGAGTTGTGCATTTTTAAAAGTTACTTACATATTGCATGATGTGGGTCTTTGATACTATTATTTTTGTCATGGTACAGGAAACTGAGATCATCACCAGTGTAGAAGGGAATCTCGTGCAAGCTGACCTCCCATCCAGTCTAGCCGATATGCAGGAAGATAACGTTCAGGTGTACGAGCCCCCAGTCACTGGAGGATTCCTGGTCAGTTTTAATGTGGATGCACGMGGTGGAAAGATGGAGAGTTCGCAGACTGGTATCAAGGTGGTGCTACCGCCTCGCTCCTGCCAAATGCCCAATAGAATCACATGTCGTCTCTTGAGGTAAATATTAATAATGATTTCAGCCAAAGTTAGTCAACAAAAAACTGAGACAACTGAGGATCGTGGGGAGCATTTCATTTAGAAAAAAGTAAAGCTTTTGTTAGAAACTGCAGCTTGAGGATCCTCACAATTAAGAGCTGAAACTGTCACTGGTAAAAAATCTCAAGTCCATCAATAATAATCAAGCGGTTGTAACATGTAAAGTTTATCTATCCWCCTTATAAAAACAATCATCTGGCACTGCAATAGAGAGTTAAATGAAGCTTTTTATTATCCTGCATATCAAGTGTTTATATTTGACTTCACTACTATTTGGACTGACTGACTGACTGTGGATGTATTTGTTGACGGGAAATTTGTCAAAAGAAACTCAACAGATGACATAAGGATTTACTTTGATTAATTGTGTGGTTATAATTTCAGGTTGAACAAGCCTACACTGCTCCCTCCTATTCGTGAAGGTGAAGGTTTGGCATGTAGAGTACTYGAAATTGGACCTACGGGTACTAATTTCTTGCAGCCCATCTACTTTGAAGTACCACACTTTGCCTCTTTGAGAGACAATGAGAGAGAGCTTGTTGTRATGAAGACTGACGATGGTGGATGGAATTGGGATGAAGTCTGTATTGAAGACAACAAAGGTGAGAGTTRTGGACAGTTTGGTTCAATTAAATCATATTTGTATGCGTGACTATCATGGAGACGATGCTCATTAGAGATTTTATTAGCACACAATATCTTAACTACACCGCACTTATACTATAGATGTGATGTAGTTAAGATATTGTGTTAATAAAATGATGTAAAGCAGACGATACTGCTATCACTAAGAAGGTACTGCTAGCAAAGCCGAGTAAGAAATTACCCCCCCCCCCTCCCTCCTGCCCCTTTCATCATCCTGCAATAGGCTTAACCCCCCTTAATATGTTAKGGCCCCTAATAACCACTTTCTCAAAATAACATACCCCCCCCCCCCTATATGCTGAAAAAAGAAAGCCCCTTATGTCCTCAAAAAAAGCCTTCTTATAATTTTCTAATAAAGTAATCTTCTATAAATTTCTATATTGTTTTTAGATATGGATGGATATGATGATAAGAATCAGGATTCCATCTTCCCTATCAAACGCTACACCAAGATCACTACAAAGGACCTCCCAGAACGTTTTGCAGTTGTCTCGCGCCTGAAGAAAGAGACGTTCTCTGTTGGACAGCGAGGGGAGACAATGAAGTCTGCTGTGATGCCTCAAGTGAAAGTCAGCATACCTGAGGGAGCCGTGTCTGCAGGAACAAAGATTACTATGCAGGTAAATTAATGCTATTAGAGAGTTTAAGATTTCCCGTTCACGGCAAACGTAAAACGTCGGCTAACCAGTGAAAAAATTCTTTTAAATTACTGAAAAGGAATCGCAAAAAAAAAATCCAAGTAGTAGATAGACAAAAGAATATTTGTGTGTGGTGAGAAAGTTTGCAAGAGATAAAGTAAAATACAGAGAAACGATGAAAACGTGGTCACGCTCGCCGTTTGCGGAAAAGAAAAAAAATCAATCTAAATAGTAAAACTCTAGAACTAACTGTAACTAGATGAAGAGACCATAAAAAAGCAGCCAGGCCAGGAGAAGTTAGATTTCACATGACACGTTTGTTTCTGACTTTTTAGAAACAGCCCTGACACTCGACTCTCAACAGCCTAGTGTCGGGTAAAGCTGAATAGATTATAAATCCACAGTGCTTTCCAACCTAGAATGAATGAGCGAGGGGGAATTGTGGCAATAGAAACCTTTAGGTTTACCGCTAGCTACCAGGGATCAAGCCCAGAAACACGCCCGCCAACACGGAGAAACACTCAGCATCAATGAAATTCAATATGGCGGCTCTTCCAGCAACAACTTCGTTATGACGCCTTTGCTAAACGTCGAAATTATCCAAGTCTGACACGTCATTTTATGATAATGCTCCCCAAATATAACCAATATTAAGTCTACTTGCAGAAAATGTTACGCCTAAGCTTTAGCATTCGTACTTATAAGTGAAAAGAATAAAGTGCCTGTTGACTACTTCATCTCAGTTCACTGGTCTTAGGCTCAGATCAAGCGTCGAACTTCACATGAGCCCAACCTAATTGAAACAATGGATAACAATGCAGTCTTCTTTGGTGTCATTAGGTTCGGCTCATGTGAAGTTCGACGTTTGATATCATGAGCCTTACCAACTTGTTGGGAGGAGACATTATCAGTGATTAATTTTCTTCCTTTTGTTGTCTTCAGGTGCAACCTGTGGATGAGAATTTCAATAACCTAGAGGAGTGGGTGACGGTCAGTCCAGTGGTATCCCTGGAACCAAGCAATATAACCTTTAATAAACCAGTGTCCGTAGCTATCCCGTGTCCTGTCTACGCAGGCGCTGGAAATGTTGATATCCAACCATCTCTACGACTACTGTGCTGCTTCCCTAAAGATATCGATGGCGAGCCGAAAACCCCGTCATACCAGTGGCAAGATATCACYGATAGTACGCCTCTAACAACTGCTGGGGACAGTGCTACTTTCACTATCAATAAACCAGCAAGGTTAGATAAACTTTAATTCTTYGATAACCAAATCAACCAGTTAAAAGCCATAATATGTCGAAAATATGGAAAACGCGCGCGCGTGCTGTGTGCAGTTATAAAGCTCTCGGRTTGCTTCTCCTAASACTTCWCTCGTGTTCTWCGACATCCCAATTGCTTTATAWCTGYACAKAGCACAGCAAGTAAGTTTTTTAAATKCCTTTTATGAAATACAAATTRCAATAACCGTTAYTTTGSAMARGAATGRCGCCACCGTAAGTGCACGCAGTCCCAACCAATCACAACGCGAAATTTATAACAGTTTTTTTTATAATTTGCTTTATAGATACTGGCTCGTTGAAACAAGAAACCCTGACAATGTCGTCACCGATGCGCGCTTGATTTACCGCAAGCTGGCCGCTGTCCCTTACCTTGCAAAGTTTGTCGTGTTCGCTAAGTTCTCTGCTGATGGCAGGGAAGCGCGTCTACGCATCTTCTGCGTCACTGATGACAAGGTCGACAAAACTCTTGAAGGACAGACTGGATTTGTTGAAGTTGCAAGAAGTCGTGATGTTGAGGTTAGTCTCTTGATGCAATGGCAATAAAACTTTGTATTATATATGTATTGGATTCCCATTAAAAAATTCATTACGAAGTCATAGATTGATTTACAGAATAGGATATTGAGAAAACCCGAGCCTCTCAATTTGATTACTTTGTACCTGTGAAGGATATCCATTTTTTTATTCAAACTTTATGCATCGACAAATATCGTTTAAAAAAATGAAGAAGAGGAGGAGAGAAATTCCATTCAACTAATTCATTGCAGTGTCTGGTCTGGGGGGGGGGGGGGGGGGGGGGGGGGGGGGGGACTAATGGACGCCCTTGCAACCTTTTCACGTCCAGGAATGCCTCGGAAATTCATACATTTACAACTGACAATATTTCTGGGAGCATTCCCAACTGTTTTAGGAACAAAACCCTGCTGAACATATTAGATAAGCAATTTAATATTTGATGTTTGTTATTAATTTTAATATTAAAGGTCTATGAAGGTCGCCCTATCCACATCCGTTGTCTTGGCAATCTTGCTCCAGTAAACCGTGAGCCAATGCACTTGAATTTCTTCGCCTTCCGTGAGAATCGTCTGTCCGTCGCCGTGAGTGCCGTGGACCCTGAACAACCTATGAACTGCAGACTGGCATTCCTTAAAGAACCCAAGAAGGACAGACAAGGAAATATACAAACTATTTGCAACCTGAATATCAACCTGTCTGAAAAGGTATGTTTATCGTCAAATCATAGATTTTGTGTGTGTGAGGCTAAAATATAGACCCCTCTCACTGAGTCCCCAGAGGAATTGTTCTGGGGGACAAAAGAATGAATTTTTTTTCGCATAAGAAAGGACGCCCTATTGTTTTGTCTCCCAGAACAATTCCTCTTGGAATCCAATGCAAGGGGTCTATACTCTTGATGAACTGCTTGGACCTAGATGGACCGTCCCTTTCTCTTATTACCGCGAAGAAACGGCATGCACGCACTGCCTCGAATGCTCATTAGGGACTGTCTGGCTGTCCGTAAATACGCGTATCTGAGTAAAACCTACTTATTAACTCTGACTGGTTAATGCAAATTACTGCTCAAATTTTTAACATCTTAATTAATCTTTGTTCAACAGGATCTCAAGAAAGATAGTGGATTAAGAAGACTACCAGGTGGGGCTGATTAACAATTTAGAATCTTGTATCACAATCCCATAAATCCGTCATTTTTCCTTTTCTTCCTACCTTCTTACAGAAAGAACATATATAGGACGAATAAGTTGTAATATGTCAAAGATTTAAGTATCGATAACACTCATTTTTGTTCTATCATCAGACTCTCTGCTCTCTCTAGTGGCCAYTGAAGTAGCAAATGACTGGAAAGWTTTAGGGCGGGAACTAGGATTCAACGATGATGAACTCGATGACATTGCAGACAGCAAGTAAGTTCTAATAGGAGTTCAAATAGGCATTGTGCCCTTGGCGATATGCTCTATTTTTGCCCTATGTTGGATTTACCACGATCTGCGCCGTCGGTTATTACCCATGTTTGTTCGTATTCTTTGTTTGCACATGACATTAATGGCCGTGTTAAGAGAATTCGACAAAAGTTTCGATGTCTTTTTTGTTATATTCTCCAACATGGCGGGCATGGCTTTTGCTAGTTTACTCCCTTGAAAATAATTGCAAACAAAAAGTATCTTGCGTGAGCTTGCGCCGTGCTCGTGTACGCCTTTGGTAAGTTAGGTTTCGAGGTGATCCTGATTCGCTATTGCTATTTAATTTCTTTATTCTGATCTTTTTTTTTTTTATTTTTTATTTTTTTAGAATTCTTATTAGAGAAACAATATGAATGATTTCAACTAAAACAACTTCTTTTTTTTTTCTTTTTCTTTTTTCTTTTTAATTTTCCAGCTCCAATGAACCTGACAAGTGTGCCGAAGAGGTTCTAAAAACATGGCGTGACTCCAAAGAACCAGAACCCGATATGCCCAAGCTCGAAAACGCCCTCAAGAACATCAATCGCGACGACGTTGATTTCAAGCAACTGGCGTACAGCAGTTACTCCAAGGGTCCAGTAACAATCACCGAGACTACCATCACACGGACAGTGCCAGATGAAAGAAATGGTGATGTCCAGAACACCCACGAAAGGATCTCCGATTACTTGAACGATGACGATGAAGAAATGTCTGATGCTGCTCATACTGAAGTACGTACGGTAACAGTGACAGATGATGATGGGGGTGCCGTTACACGGACRACCACTACAACCGTAACACGAGATGGCGAGACCGTAGAGACAACGACCGACACTCGAGAGGGGGATGAAAATGAYCCAGACAAAGAGAAACTCATCAAAGAAATGTTCGCTGGAGAAAAAGGAGTCATGGATTTCTTCAACGACGATGACAAGAAACCAGAAACGGATGAGACCGAGATTTAACCGTACGTTTTTGCCTCTCGTCAGTTTTTAATAGGATAGAGTTCGCCATGAATGGCACAAGCCCGGTCAATGTATTTCTAAGTTAATTAAGAATCCAAGAGTGAAAGGCTAAGGTTTGAATTAACTAAATGAGCAGGGCAAAAAGGAACTTGAACTTCTAGTCGGTGTTATGTCTTAATAATTTTAACAATTCTATTTAAAGTAAATTTTGAAAACGTGTGCTCCAGGAGTTAATATAAGCAATGATAAATAAGGCAGGAATTCATTTTTCTTTTAATCTTTTTTTCAACTATTAGGCGTAGCCTTTCGTTTCTAGCGTTTGCATTTTGATTGGTTAGTAGTGCAGTGCTTCTTATGACGCTTGTTGAAATTGTCAAAAACCTAAGACAAATATATTGAATCACTTGGTATCGATAGGACACACTGTCAATTGAATACTGTCTGGAAGTTAGTTTGCTCCGTATTTGAAGCTGTTATCTGAAATGCTGATAAATGCCAGGCACAGGGACGGTCCAATAATTTTGAAACGAGTTTCAAAATGGGCAATTTATGTTCCAAGTAGCATCCTTTAGGAAAAATCCCTCACCGGAAGGCGGAAGGCTTGTCGAGCACCCGTCTTCCCGGAATTCGCCCCTGAAGTTGAGCAGTTGAACCAATCAAAATGCTGAATTCCTTATAACTAATAATGCTCTGTAAGAGTAATGTACTAGTTATCTCAATATAGATACCCATGTGATGATGCTTTAAACATTTTTCATATCCAATATAGTTCGAATGCAAGAACTTTTGGCATAGTAAATGATAAATCCTAATAAAGGTCGAATTCTAAGTTAAAAACTCATACTTCTGCATTTGTGACTAGGAATGCTTTTTGAACCCTTTGGTACTCCAGTTTTCCTACATTCTTTTTTTACTAACTTAAGGCCGGAGTGCTTAACTAATTACTAGTGTACTAGAGTGCATACCATATATCCATGAAAAAGTAACTAACAACATTGTACAGATAAGTGCAAAGTTTTGTAGGTATGTCCTACTGAGGTTTACTGATCTTACTACATTTTTGGCAAATTTGTGCAATTTCTTACAAAATTTTTCACGGATGTATAATAGTATCAGCACTCTATTAGGAATGTCAATCAAATTGAACTTAAAAGAACCAGTGGAGTTGATCTTTATTAGTTTAAACGTAATAAAAGAAACCCTAGTGGATGTGAAAGCAAATTGCGTAGTGCCTAGGAAATAGAATGTACCTTTTAAAGTAAGGTGATGATTGTAAAACTAAACTGTACTACAAGTAAACTGGCATTTATCATTGGTTTGTCAATGACTTAATCAATCTATTAATCACTCTAGTATTTGCTTAGGGTTATGAAGGGAGTTAGGGGGATCCTGAAATATATAGTAATTATTGACTGGAAAATTGTTTAACAAAATATGTTTTAAATCACAATTTTTTGAATTTTTGCGTTGCCTGTGGAAACGAACGGCCTAAATCTATTGGGAGCGTGCGAGTCATAGTGAGGCCAGTAAGCTCCAACTAATGTCTCCATGTAATGCGGMYTTCSACACGGATTTTGTTCCAYAGAGTTGTGCCTCGTAAACGAAAATTTTCAAATTTTCTTAAGATAGCATTGAGACATTATTATTTATCTTATACATAATTACTGCTAGTTGTCTAATCATTCTATCTTCCAACTTTTCCCAACCCAGCTCATGCAATAAATCACTAGAGCAACAAGTATTGATCAGCAATATTTTGCAAATTAATGAATATGATATTGATGCTAGATGTTCAGTATCTAACTCATGACGCGCTGCAGTAAACCAATCTGTCCAATATCTGAATAATCAGTTCGATAAAATACTTGCGCCGTTCCCATTGTCTTTCCACTGCACAAGAAAGGTCATTGCTCGAGTCATTCAGATATTCCTTGTATTCAAATGAAAATATATCAGTGTTATCCAAAAAGTTCAAGAAATACGGTTTCAAGTTACGGCAGCATGTTCTTGCGTGTAAGTAGCGGAAAATCTTGATGGTTAATTGCTTGACAAAGAAGTCATCACTTGATGCGCATTGATTGTGAGCACTTTCCAGAAGATCTGGCTGCTCATCCAAGACGTACAAAAGACTTGTCTTGAGCATGTAGCTTGATATTTCATCTCTTGCTCCCAATACCGCCATGCATTCGTTTTCATAACGTCTTCGTGGACATATATCGGGCTGAAGCATGATCTTCGCCAGAGCGTAGCTTCGTTTCACCGCTTGTGGAAAAGTACGAAACAGAGCAACTTCAGCAGGAGCCACAGAAATACGCAGGTAAGTGTCTTCATTGTCAAGGAAATCATCACTGAGATTCGGGTTTTGCAAAAGAAGTGCACACCCTGCTAGCTTAATATCTTCTGACAGGAGACTGAGTGAGCCAGTATCAATCAGAGATGGCCAATATGGAGGGACGTATATAGCAGGAACTATATCAACGCTAATTTCTAAGTTTTTGTACCTGCAGCCTACCCATCTTACCCCGGCATTGATTGTTGGCTTATCTGCTAGGTCCAATATTTCTTCAAAATAAAGCCTAGTATCTTTCCATGGTTCTCCCTGATGCCAAGCTATTTCGAATAGAGTTTTCATTTTATTCCTCACAAGTGCACAATCAAGCATTCTGTTGCCTTCGAAAAATTCTGAATACAATTCATAGCGTTCATTGTCTTTGAGCCTTGCCTGACAGTATCCGTCGATTTGCCGATGGTTGTCGTGAACAGCGCATAACGATGAAAAATTATCCAAATAGCAGACAAAATCGAATTCATGTGGCTGCGAAATTAAAGTGCCTTCGCTGCTGCTACCAGTGTTAAATAAAGTTGCAGCAAATCGCCAATCGAGGTTCTTAATGATGGCTAACATCTTCTCAAGTAGACATATAACTGCTTGTTTTATTTGAAGTGCTTCATCCTCCCACTTGACCATGCCATACACCGATGAATCTAAAAGTTGGGAAACGCTAGTTCTTGCATTCTCTTTGTCAATTGCTTTTGAAGCAAACGTTTCTTCAGATACATCAACGTCGTCCTCGCTACTATCGGTATCGGAGAGCGACYTCCGATTAAATTCGTTTTCTATGGCTTCGGCAAGAKTGGGAAACAAAGGACATGCAGGTCGGTAATAACGGTCCCGATCTTTGACATCGGATGGTCGACGACCCATTGCATCTTCGTGAAACGGATCTGMACCTTTCGTTTCTAGGAATTCTGAAACAGTCGKAGAGCAATACCAGGCGGCAAAATGTAATGGTGTTGATCCGAAGTCATCCCTAATGTTAACATCAGCTCCATATTGGAGAAGTAAGTCTACGTCTTCAGTTCGATCGGAAAATACCCAATGATGCAGAGGAGTAAGTCCATTACTGTCTTTCGCATTAACCAGGAAATCACCTTTGTTTTCAAGGAGAATCCTCAAAATGTCGACATTGTAACCCGAGTGCAAAACTGACTCTGCCTTTACATTAGTTAGATTTAATTCGGCGCCGTTCTTTAGCAACAAATCCGCTTTTTCTGCTGAATTTATACTTATTGCCTCAAAAAGCAATGACCGACCAAGGTTGYTTTGTAAGTTCACATCTGCTCCGTACTCAATGTATTTCTCTATAACTTGTATACTGTGATGTTTGACCGCAAATGCAAACGGAGTATCTCCCCGGAGATTTTTGACGTTTAGAAGAAGTGACGGTTGGATGTGGCAATCAACGATTGTTTCAAGTACATCCAAGAAATACTTATCGAAGACGGGGACGTCAGGTAAACATGTCAAGTAATGCAGGAATGAATTCCCTTGTCGATCCTGCAGGAAAGGGTTAGCTCCTGCTTTGAGCATAAAAATACTACATCCAACCAGATTTGACAAAGCAGAGTACATCAATGCAGTCAACCCTTCCTTATTCTGCGCATCAATATTAATACTTCGTTCCATCAATAAGTGTATTCCTTTAAGCAAATCTTTGCTTGCATTTTCATCGGGAGATGTTATATTTAACAATTCGTGAACAGCACTATTTCCATTACAGTCACAGAGATGTACGTTCAACTGCGGTTCCTTACAGAGCCTTTCAAATTTGCTCATCTCTCCATACTGAGCAGCAAAGTGTAATGGGGTCTCTTGCATGTTGGTTTGTTGATTCACACTAGCACCAGCAACCAGCAAATCTTCAAAAATATCCATTGCTACAGTATTAATCGTGGCAAGATGAAGCGGTGTTTGTCCTTCGTCATCGCCCCTATTTACCTCACAATTATAACGAAGTAAGAGCCGACAAGCATCTTTATTGTTGTCTTGCACTGCCATGTGGATTGGCCAAGGGTAGTCACCAATCATGCCATTTATTCCTACGCCGCCATTTTTAACTAATGTCGCGGCAGTCTTAACATCATTCGATTTAATAGCTATTGACAATGGGTTATCCTTTAACAAATAAGGAAGAATTACGGAGAATTTGTCCCAGTCATCTTCAACACACCCAGCGGAGTTCGTGCACACAGATTCTGGCATTGTCAGCCTTGCTTATTCATGCCAACATCTATCCTGTTGTTGTTTCTTCCGTCTAGAAAAGATAAAGTACAAGGGAAATTCTATTATATTTTTCAATTTCATACTAAAGTTTTCACTTTCAGAAAAGTGTCACGGACGTTTGAATGTTGCACATCAGTTCTAGCTTTGCCCTCGAAATTTAAATAGGCAAGTGGCCCAGAAAGTCAACTACACCGAACTAACTAGAGCTAAATTAAATTTATTCTCTTAATATAAGATATTATATTGAAGTAAGCATGGTATCTTGTTCCTGATTCGAAAAATCGCAATGAAATTATCGAA